ACACTCGAAAGGGACACGTCGAAGTCCCGCTTATCCCGGAGTTCCCAACTGTCGAGCCCAATTCCCAGTGCGCTCGCTAAGGCGCACGTAAATTCACATGTATTTCCCGACTTGTAAAAAGGAAAAACAGATCCCAGAAGTCGAAAAAAAACTTTCAGAAAAATGAAAAATGTGGCATTCGAAAACAAGAAATCGAAACGGGGTTTTTCTGGGGTTGGTATGATACAAGCAAAAGAAGGGGTACGAAAGATGGCACGGGTTCGGGAAGTGGTTCGTCACATATGTGACGCGCAGGGGGTTCCAAAATTATGCGATGTCCTGATTGCATGTCATGGCGGAAGAGGAAAGAGAAAGAGGGAGAACAGAGTGAGGCATGAGGAACCAAACACATCAGCAAGGCTTCTAGAAAAAAACACAAGGGGTGGTAACTAAGTTGCGGATGAGATGGCGGCAACATCTGTGGCAAGACCTCCGCGGCCCTGTCATATGCAACCTCCTACCCTGTAGAGATCGTCCAGGTGACGCCATCACGGTCCGCCTGATCTCCGTGTGCTCTGCACCCCAGCTCGTTGCTGCTCGTAGAATCAGAGTGTAGGTTGACGTCATCGTCAATGGTGGGATCTCCGCGAAGCTTAATGATTCGTGCCGATGAGGAGAGGAGGGGGGGGGCGGGTTATGTGATCGGGGCCTACCGCCTAGTTGGAATAGGCCAGTAGAGATGGTACATGGAGGGGCTCTCGCGGGGATGACGGGGAGGAAGTGGGGGAAGGAAGCGATTCATTCCTTCCATCGTTACCGGGAGCTCCTTATATCGGATGATGTGGTGGAAGTGGGGCGCCGCTGCGGGGGAGGGAAGCGAGGTAGTCGCGGTAGAAGAAGGAAAGGGTGCGGAAGAGCGCCGCTCGAAAGATCTCGAAGTGGCGGCAAGCGGGGATTGTCCCCGTGGCAACGCAGTAAACCTCTACTACGTTGCATCGCTCCCATGCAGCGCTGAACAGCAGGAGATGCCAGCAGAACGTGGGGGCAGCAGATTGAAGGGAGGCGTGGGGGTGAACGGTGGCAAGTAGACGGGTAGAATAGAAGTCGCGGAAGAGATGGGGATGGAAAGGATGGGAAGGGAAGGTGACGGGGGTACGGATCTGCTCGAGGGTGAGGAAATCAAGGGGTCGGCGGGACAGCGTCCGAGGACGAAGGCCTATCGCCCGCATCGGTACGTGGGCGAATAGGGGGACGGGTGGGGCTGGAGGAGGAGGGGGATCGACTCCTTCTCCGTCGCGCGGTACTTGAGGTGGCGGTTGCAGGGTCACCATCTTTCGGCTCTGGCGGCTTTGGATCCCTAGTCGGATCGTTACTGATGCGCAGGCTAGCTTCGCTGGCGAACTCCAGCTGGCGCTTCCCGGTGGCAATTTCTTCGCGCTTTCGCACCGCTTCCGGATCTTCCGCCTCCGTTCCCGTGCGCGTTGCTTCCTCCGGCAAGGCTTCCCACTCGTACCCGGCTTCTTCTTCTTTTTCTTCTTCTTCTTCTTCTTCTTCTTCTTCTTCTTCCTCACTCAGCTCACCCTCGCTATGTTCACTATAGCTTCCCTCCTCCGATGTTTTCTCGTCGTCGTCGTCGATCACCACTTCCTCTGCCCTCGGATAGAAGGTGTGCGGGATGATCTCGTACGACTTCAGATACTCCTGCCGTGATGGTAGCGTATCCTCGTCCCTAGGTTCTTCCAAGCCCGCGATCCACTGAAGGTACGGGTCCAATGATTGCTCGAAAATGTACGGAGCAGGACTGTCGTCACTCTGAAAATAGATGTCGGGCGAGAGATCGTCGGCCAATTGTACGATCGGTGCGATAAGCTCCTGCGCAATCAGGTGGCGTCAACCCGGCCGTACCGATCCGAAGAGAAAGCCAAGAAGATCTCCTTCCTCGTTAGTCCTCCAAGCCTGTATGATCAGCAGCTCCGGATTCTCGATACACGTGGGATGCTCACTAGTGCCCGTCCACGTCACCTGTACTCTGCCCAGGCAGAAAGACAGTTCCTCAAACGTTTCGCGCCATAACCGCCAATGTCCAAGATTGATAAGAGGGATTGAAAGAGGCTCGAATGAGAAGGAAAGGGAAGGGTGAAGATCGGATTGCCAGAAGGTGGGGAAGAGAGAGGGGAGAGCAAAGATAGAGAGAGGCGCGAGGAGATTGGCGTGGTTCATTGGGGATGTGGGAAGGGGACGAGGGTTGGGATCGCAACTGGCCGCTCGCGCGGTGATCGACGGATATCGTCAAGGTCCGATGCAAAGATCGGGATGATGTTATACCCCTGTCGGGCGAGGACGTGCTGCCACACGTTGGACACTTGCTCTGTCCACTCGCGCAACGAGGCCAAGATTGCGGTATGCCACAGCAGATTGACTGAGCTGATGTCACCGGTGAATGCCGCCACCGTGGTGACGTGGCTCGTCCTGGGACCCGCTCGCCGATGAACTGCAGTTACCTCCGCGAATACCACTGCGTGAGGACTTCCTTCGATCCGAAACGCGGCGGCGACACAGATACCTTCGTCGCAGAAGAATCGCATCAGACGTCGAAGATCCGCATTGAGCCGAGGGTGACAAACTTGTCGAATCTGTGAGATGTGGCCACGTGGCTGCAACAGTTGCGCATCAAGAACCCGCTCCGCGATAAAACTCATGGCGAGGTGGGAGAGGAGGACGAAGAACAAGAGGGAGGAAGAGGAGAGAGAGTTAGATCGTCGTCGTTCTCCTCACTTTCCGAGGAAGAGGAGGGAGGAAGATCAGAAGGGGGAAGAAGACGGAGGTAGGAGGTATGTCGGACGATGGGGACAGAGCTATGGCTGACACTAGCCTCAGGCGCGATGCGCACTGTGTTGGCGCCGTTGGGTCCGAGTTCGACAATGCGAAAACAACCAGAGAACTTGGGAGCGAGTTTCCGGTCGCGTGCACATTTACATACCTGCACTAGGTCCCCTAATTTATATTGGTGTTGGGGCCCAGCATTTCCATTCCGGGCCTCGTAGCTACGGACCTGTCTACCGTGGGCCAGTTCGGTCATCCTTTGCCTTTTTCGGGCTAGCTTCGGGACGGCCCGTTCCATTAATTCGGTGTACCTTTTGGCCTTGGCTTTGAGAGCTGCACGCGTGTCTCTACCCCCTGCTTCGGCAATTTTCGAGTTACCCCGGTAATCGACACAGGGGAGGTTATTAGTTCGAAGCTGAAAGGGGGTAAACCCCGTAGACTCGTGAGGGGTGGCCCCGTGGATTCCGACGATCTGATATACGATCTCGGGCCACGAACGCGTGTCGTGTGCCGCTAAGTTCCTGCGAAGGGCGGTTTTAATCATATGGTTGGCATTTTCGGCCAACCCGTTCGACTGGGACACGTGGGGTGTCGTGTGTCGGAGCGTGACGCCCCTTTGCGCAAGCAGTTCCTCTACCTCACCTTTGAATTCCGACCCATTGTCAGTTAGAATTTCTTCCGTATCTAGATGTGTATAGAGGAATCGTTCGATGTACGTGGCTATTTCTGCGGCCTTTCGGGTCTTACAGGGATAGATTTCGATGTATTTGGATAAATGGTCAATTAAAACTAACAGGATAGAATATTCACAGCGGTTTGGGTCAGGTGGCACGTCAATATCTGTCGTGTCCATACTGACTCACTGGAAAGGACGCTCTACTTCCGTTGGTACTATCGTGTTTTGTCCCTATATAGGGGCGCGATCAGCGGCACAGACCAGACAGTTAGCGACAATGTACTTGACGTCATCTCCTATATTCTGGTCTACAGTTGCCTCCGTGACACGTATCGCGAAATGAGCGGCCTGTTCTTCGTGAGCGGATCGGATTCAATCGTATCTCTGGAAGGGATGAGGAACCGTCAACCATGAACCTGATCCGTCTGTTTTACGCTTTTCCAAATGACCGTTGATCCATCGATAGTCCCGAGATCTCTCTGTTGCCCTACGTCTGTCGTGCTTGGTGAGGTGGCCCAACGATAATCCCGCTAATTTTGCTAATAAAATTTTATCCGTCCAAACCTCCGCTCGTCGGTATTTTTCGTCGTATTCAGGGCCGTCCGTACGGGCGGCTTCGAATCGAACCTCCGTGGGGAGCTTGTTCGTTCTACACAGGGGACACCTTCATTCCTTGCTACTCGTCCGATATCGAACGCAGGCCCCGTGCGCACGGTTGACACGCGTGGCACATTCTACCCTATCGATAAATCCGGTCTCAAAGGGATGACAGTCGACCCCATAAACTCGTGCAAAAATAGCAGAATTTATCGGGAAGGGTGGCGAAGAAAGCCGAGGAAGTAAGAGGGGTAAAGTTAGTAGGAGAAGAAGGGGTTGCTGAGGCGAGTGGGGTAGTCATGATGGCAGAGGAGGAGGGGATGCAGGGAGAGCAGAACAGAACAATTAGTCCTTGTGTCACTTACTGCTTCGACAAGATCTCCACTTGGCCGTACCGAGGTCCGGTCTCCTGTTCGGGTTCGTTCCACGGAATTACCTCCTCATTCTTCGGAACTTTCTCAGGTCGGTGCAGACGTGTCAGTCTGTTCGCATTCCCGTGTCTCTCGTGCTTCCGATGGCGGATGTCAAAGTCCATGCTCTGCAACACCGCTGCCCATCGCCTGATCATGCCCGAGTAATCCTTCGACTTCTTCAGAGCCAATTGGGGCTCATGATCAGTCACCAGGGTGAATTTTCGGCCGTACAAGTAAGCACGAAAGTGACTGATTCCCCAGAGGGCCGCATAGCATTCACCCGTTGGAGCGGCGTAGTTGCGCTTGCAGGCGAGCACTGATTTGGACGCATACTCCACCACACTCTTGAGTCCGCTTGGTCCCACCTAGGCAAGGATCGCCGAAATCGCCTCTGGCTGCCAGTCGGTGATGAGAACAAAAGGTTTTTCGGGATCCGGTCTTATAAGGACCGGAGCCGAAATGAGAGCAGCCTTGAGTTTGGAAAACGCTTGATCGCACTCCGGCGTCAAGATCAACGGCTGATCCTTGCGCAACAGATTTGTGAGGGGTCCCGCAATCGCCGTGAAGCCCTTGATAAATCTTCGGTAATACGAGGCTAGGCCCAGAAAGGCGCGAACTTGCGTGATAGTCGTGGGCACCGGCGCGTCCCTGACAACTGCCACCTTCTGCGGCTCCGGTTGGAGTCCCTTGTCTGTCACCACGTGCCCCAGAAAGGAAATGGTGGTGAGGAAAAACTGACACTTCTCAAGCGCCACCTTGAAACCTGCATCTCGTAACACATGCAGGGCCCATTCGATGTGCTGCACGTGTCCCTCGTAGAAACTCGAATACACCAGGATGTCATCCATGTACACAATCACGCAGTAGTTGATGATGCTCTGCGCCAGACGAGTCTTCCGTACGAAATTATGAAAAGCCATGTTCATGGTCCGCTGAAAAGTCGCAGGGGTGTTGTAGATACCCATCGGACATCGAATCCATTGCCACGTACCTTCGAAAAGCACAAGCACGGTTTTCGGACGATCTTCTTCTCGGACAAGAAGATGATGAAATCCATGGCGAACATCAAACTTGCTGAAAAATTGAGCACTCCCAATCGCATCCAACAATTCATCAATCCGGGGGAGAGGGTACACATCTTTAATCATGATATCATTCAATTTTCGATAATCAATACAAATACGAATCCCTCCAGCCCTTTTTAGGTACGTTCACTACGGGAAAAGACCATGGACCTATTGCAGGTTCGATCCATCCATTAGCTTCGAACTCCTTAATCCGCTGAAAAGTGGCCGCTCTTTGAGATGGCGAGTATCGATAGGGAGCGCAACTAATGGGCGGATGATCTCCTGTGAGGATGGCATGCTCAATCACATTTGTTAAGCCGATATCATTATCATGCACGTTCAGTACTTCTGCGTAACCATTTAACACACAGATTAATGACTTCCGGAGTTCCGCGGGAACGTGATTCGGGAGGGGGATTGTTGATTCCCCGGAAACCTTGAGGGGCATATCGACCCAATCGATTGGCCGTTCCCGCCGCTCACCGACACTAGAGAAAACGGAAGTACTGGTGCGAACAGAGAAGATAGTTGCGATCATCAAGGACTTGGCGGGGCTGATCATTTCCGTTTCTTTAGTCTCAGCGTCGGTCTCGGAACCAACCGAGGTCGGTTCCACTGTTAGCCCTGTTAGATCCGTCATTTCTTGCATCAGATTAGGTACGTCACTTACCGGTGCTTCCGCCTCTTGTTTAATCAAGGCGATGGTGGCTCCTATCGTTAGTAACGATCTAGGCGGAAAAACAGAGACATCCAAATATTGTTCCGTTTGCTGATAACGCGTTCGTAAGGAGAGAGCTCCCTCGTACAAGGTGCGAGGGAGTTCCAAATCATCATCCAGGTCGGAAACTTGTAATAGGGGTTCCCCGAGGAGGATGGAAGGACTGACCTGGGTTATTAGAGGCGTGAATGCACGGTCTTCGGAATCCACGTGGAAGCTTCGGGCGGTGTCGGGGCATACTTGAAATTCTTCGGGGGTTTCATGTTCGAAAAGTTCAACCAGATGCTTCCATTCTTCTTCGCTAGGCATCTCTTCTTCATGTTCTTGTTCCCTGATTTCATCCCCGAGGCGCGAGGGAGAACATTCCTCGGGATCAATGTCTCGGATCATCCCTATTTGGGCTGGGTTAGGGATCCGTTTCATCGTCCGGGTGGAAACTCGCAAAGGAATAGTTTGAGGTTTTCCCCCAATTTGTGTGAGCACCAGTTGCTTCGAATCGAAATGCAGACGTGCACCTACCGCCATCGCCCAAGGTAATCCCAACAACACAGAATAGGAACATACATCTATTACGAGCGCATTAACAAGGACGTGTACTCGTCCAACTTTTACGGCCACATTCTTGATAATGCCTACGATGTTCATTGCTTCCTCGTCGACAGAGACATAGTTGTCTCTGCCAGAATGAGGAAGAATAGATCCAAGTCGTTCCGTCTTTTTGATAGTATCCAATGATATGGCTACTGCAGAAGACCCCATGTCGGTAAGGGCATTAAACGGCTTGCCCCAAACTTCACAGTCACATTCTGCACTTTTTCATAGTACCGGCCGAGCTCGTACGAAGTGATCTTTTTCTGCTAAAGAGATCGCTGCTATACGTGCGGCTTCAGGTTCGGGTTTTTTTGTGTCAGGCTCGGGGGGTACAACTTCCTCGCTTTCTTCTTTCTTCTTCAACATCCGTTGTATGCGTTGATAGGTGAAACGCTTTTGATTTTTTTGGCAATGTTGTAGAAGCTTATCGTTCGTCACTTCAGATATGGTGAGCAGATGTCCCACTGGGATGGGCACGCGGATATCCAGTTGCTTGAGCGTTTTCAATACATCAATGTCTCCTATCCGAAACTGCGGTCCAGGATTGGACTCGCGATCGACCCACTCGAGATCATCCGGGACCGATCGGATTGCTCCGATCATGCTTGCAAGATGAAGGTATTCGAGTGGATCGACTATGTCAGCAACGTCACAGGAGGAAGCTCCTGATGTCGACGCCAGTGTCGTCGAAGGGGAAGGCTACTCGGGGGCATATGCCACGAGTTCTCTTCCTTGATCCGTATCCATCAAACCAGTCACTCGTCCTTGATTAAGGGCGACGGGGGCCGCAGCAGGGGGAGGCTGATTTCGTTTCGGCTGCGGGCAGTCCCGGGCAAAGTGCCCGGGCTGTTTGCAGTTAAAACACTCGTTTTTTCCTGCTGGATTAGCTAGATGGGGAAACTGAGGGGCAAATCCTGGAGCACGCGGAGCAGGTAAGAGTGAAAACGATGCAGGGGCAGGCCGAGCAGGAGCTGGGTTAGGCTTGATGAGCCTGCTCATTATCTGTTTCATTCGTTCCATATGGGCGGCCTGCATTTGGATCAGGTTGCCCATCCATTCGGACTGCTTGGTAGTAGCCGTGTGGATCATCTGGGCAACGTGTAAATTGGTTACGGCCGCCGAGGGGGGTTCGGATGAGGTTYYGCTTCTAAYGGCTRYAATCGGTTGATTCACCRGGGGAGAGGAAGGAGAAGCAATCGGGATATCAGAAGCGATCCCACCTGGAAGGTCATGGTCGGGGCGGGGGTAAAACCGTTCGACCGCCTGCAACCATGATCGCCTTTTGGCCGTTACATTCCATATGGTATCCGTAGTGTCTTCATCTCCCTGGCTGATATATTTTTTGGTATCAGTCAGATCCAGTTCCAATGCCTTAGTGATGATAACCGATAACGAGTGCGTTTTTGGCGGAACCTTTTTCTGTAATTTCCCTTTCAAGGTCGGATTTCGAAGGTGATCAATAAACAAATCTCGAACGGATTTCTCGTCTCGCCAGGATTTATCCAACATGGTTTGAAATCGATCGACGAAATCGGGCAACAATTCCCCTGGTCCTTGGGGTCGATTTTTGAGTATGTACCAGGCGGCATCTTCACTGATTGTATCGAATCAAGCCAAAAAGGTTGTCTACCCATGTATGTTTTCTAAACCAGTCACGCGACGTGTTGCGGAGTAGCAGAGTCAGAACACGGGGGAGATCGGCTGCGCTGTAGTTTTGAGCTTCGACAGCTTCCAGCCAAGCCTCGGGATGAGTATGGTTAGGGAAGAAGGGGAAGGGGGCATGGATACTAACGATCACCCTCGTACCGTCCACCATTGGCATTGTGGGTGCAGTCGGACTAGACTAAGACCTGGTTACTGGGCGATTCCGACGAGTTAGTTGAGGGTCTCTCCTTCCTCTCGCCAGTTCGATTTATTATCATCAGAACCGACACATGTCGGCTCCGATACCAACCTCACGCCCTGTGCTGTTTTTCGTTCGGAGTGTGAGACATGCGGAAAGAGGCCCAGAAAAACAGCAAGATGGGGTGTGCCAAGGATTTTTGGAAATTGAGTGTGGGGACACAGATGAAACTGAAATCCCCCGTGTAGGTCCGATGAAGCAAGTCGATTAATTTCGCGCGTCGCGAAATGCGCGCGCGGACATGGCGCGAAAACAGAAAGATCCAAATTCAATCCAAAAAGTACTGTCGGGCTTCCCACCGGGCTACAGCCCGTCGTTTAGAACGGAAAGGCTCTGGTACGCTTCGCGTGTCTCGTTTTCGTATCAGATCTCGTCGTTGTTCGCTCGTTAGTTCCAAGTCCGACGTGGATGGTCTCAGYCGAGTGGCTCTTTCCTTATGCTCGTCCTCACTCCGTATTCGGTAATGGAAGCCCTTCGCTTCGTAGCGATCGAAACGATGGCACTCCGTACACAGAGTGCGGGGCCAATGGGGCGCCACTGCCGTCTACGGAATGACGATCAGCTCGTTAAACGGCAACAATATCGAGTAGGGTGGAAAGAGCGTATCGATAATGACAAATCCGGCGTCTACAAACCGTGAACAACGGTCGGCCGGAGGGAAGTAATAGTGCCCAACGATTTGTGCGACGGATTCTCGTACGTCCCACTCAGATACACGCATCCTTTCCTCGCTGTAGGGAAAGGGCCGCGTGGGAATGGGAGATACGGGAGGCTGGCGCCCAATCGAGGGGTACTTGTCAGTCCACATGTCAATCAATCACAATATCTCGAGACGTCATTAAAAACCGAA